CCCTGATCTGTCACTCAGAAGCTGTCCCTATCCACTGACTGCGTTGCCTGAGTCTCGCCTCCAATATTCTAAACAGTGTGCTGCTCCTCAACCCCCAATAGCCAGTCAGAACACAGAGGCCACTTGCATATGCGGCCCTATTGGCCTTTGCCTCTAACATTTTAAACAGTTTGTTGCTGCTGTTGGGAGTCATTGAATGTGTTCTGAGGTAAAATACATATCCCAATTTCCCCTTAAACAGTCACAGGAGTTGCCAAAATACATATCCCAATCTTCCCTTAAACAGTCACTGGAGTTGCTAATCTTCCTGTGGGGCCTGGAGATCTTCCAGAAATCACCATGTTCCCCAACCACAGCACATCATTTCCCCTACAGAAAATTTCCCAGCTATTACAATAGCTGCTTTAGGCAGTGGACTCTATAGCATTATACCCTGGTGAAGTTCCTCCGCACCCCAAACTCTGCCCTCCCCAGGCCCTACCCCTCAAATCTAGAGGTCTGGCCCTCCCCTTAGTATTGTCAGCCTCCACACAGCACCTGGAGATCTCCAAAATCAGCTCTCCTGGAGAGAATGGCTGCTTTGGGCAATGGACTCTATGGAATTATACCTATTTTTGGCTACTGTGTGAGTGTTGGACTGGATGGGCCATTGGCCTGATCCAACATTGGCTTCTCTTATGTTCTTATGTGGGATAATAATAATAAATGTTATTTGCCTTTGCTATTTTAAACAGAAGACTGAAGCAAATGCCTTTCTCTTCTGACTTACTGGAAAACAATTGCAGCTTCTAGGAGAATGATCCACTTCCAGAAATAACCTCACTTTTATGACTTGTTGCTCATCATTTTACCCAAGTGAAGTGATGGGATTACAAAAGGGCAATACATGTGTTTATTGATTGTGTTTCTGCTTTACAAAGTTTGCTAACACTTAAGACAGGAATACACACCAAATCATAACTGGGAACACAGTTCTCAGCAGCCTTGGAACAGTCTTGGCTTTGTTTCCACTTGTGTATTTATCTCTTGGAGAATGAAAAACAAGTTCTATGAACTCAAAGGCTTGGAAGATAATGTTTTTCCTGATTAATCAGGAAGTCTGGACTGGGCTGGCAAGGCCAGTCGCTTGTTTGGACTGGGGCCTATTTGGCAGCCACCTGATTGCACAGAGCTGGAAATCTAATTCAGCCCCCAGAATGGGAGTTGCTTTCAGTCCCTCTCCAGCTTTAATGCTTTTGAAAAATGTTCTACTCCTCCTTTCCTCAGATCAGACTGTGACAACTCCCCTTGCCACATCTGCTCCAGTTAAAGAAGGCCCCGGTAAATAGGCCTGCTCATTCTTATTAGCTGAAGCAATGTGCACATGATAGACAACTTTTGCTCGTTTAGTATGATGCCAAGTTGGAGATGTACAGCAAGTTCTAGCTTTGATGAAAGGAAAATGTCCTCTTTCCTTTTGGGCCTGATCAGCTGTTTTCGAGTTCACATTCCAATTTCTGTCACCTTAACAGGATATTTGTCTTGTCTTCTCTGACTCCTGTGAAGGCTTCTGTGGTCTTGTTGTTAGTGTACTGGAGCCAGGATTCAAACCACACTTGGCTATGACGCTCACTAGGTTACTCTCTCCCTTTGTCTAACTTCTATAATACCTTTGTGATTATAAAACAGGAGAGGCTCATGTATGCAGAATATTTAGTATCTCTAGTTTAAAGAATCAGGTCATGGGTGATCTGAAAGATCTCTTACTTGAGACCCTGAAGAGCTGCTGACAGTCAAAGAAGATAATACTGACCTTGAGACACCAGTGATCCAAGTCAGTCTCATGCGCTGAATTCTCATGGACCAGAGCGCTCCCCCTTTGACAGTAAGTGCAGTGTCTAGCCATTTGTCAAGAATATTGGAAGATTCTAAAGCAGTGACACTCACCTTGTGACTCAAGAACCACAAGTGGCTTTTTGACATGCCACGTGTGGCTTTTCTGAACACTGTTGTTCAGTAATGTGGACAAGGCCATTGGACAGTGGGACTTGTGTTTGGCAAGCTGTACCCACTTTGAAACAACCGCCAGAGGAATGGGCAAGCTGTGAGCCAGTCTGAGGTGCAAGCCTCAAGTCAGGGATGGAAGTCATTGTGGGTCTTTTGGTTGATGGTGACTGCAAATGTGGCTCTCCCCGAGCCTCAGAGTAAATGCCACTGTGTGAAACTCAGGGTGAGAACATGCCTGCAGTGCTCTGCTAGGCATACATTATATGCCTTCAGAGATCCCTCCAGAGATCAGCTCTATAGGCACTACTGGGTTAAACTGGACAAGGGCTTCTACTGAACTGCATTTAAACCCCACAACATCCTGGTGAAATTGCCACACTTTCAACTGTTTGCATGGAACACAGAGGCAGATTCTCTGTCTTTGCTTGCTGAACACATGCCTGTACTTGCCACAGTACTATAAGAAAACATGCTGGGCTGGCTGTATGATCTGTGAAGTTCTCCTGAACAGGAAACACAGCCACTAATTTGTAATGTGAAACAGAAAAAGCAGTTAGTATAGTCTTCACTGTAGACACATTGTAAATGAGACCACTAAAGGGGATATTCCATGAGGAGGCGCTCCTAGATAACTGCACTACAGAAGAAACAAAAACCCAGCTAAATATGGGGTGTTCTCTATAACACACTTAGCATAATTAGTAATTAATCCTATTCAGGGATCCATTATCCATAAACTAATAATAACTGGATTTTAGAACAGCCTTCCACTTAGCTGACGGTATCACAGTCAGAGAATGTATACCAAATTATGTGAAATAATAGGCATGTTATAAAAGAATAATTTCAAAACCTAGAGAGATTTGACCAGATAGCTTATTCTTACTCCTTGGATGCAACTTCTTACAGACCAGTTTTATGTTGAAGAAAATCCCATTGTGTTTAGGAAGGATTAAGCAAACATGGGATTGCAGACTTAATCTTGTTAGTAGTGAGGAAAGGTAAAGTAACAGTGCTTCGAAAGACCAATAAAAATAAATAATCTGAGGGAGAATGAACAAAAGTTAAGTCCTGTTGCAGCATGAAGTAATGAGCCCAGGGTGTCTTTTCCCCCAACTGACCAACACTGTTGTCTCTCCCATCTGGTTCTGGAATACGTCTGCCATTCTTTCCTTGAGCTGCACGAATGCCCTGGGGCCTGACTCTTTTGCTCTACAGCCAAACATTAGTCTAGTAACAGCTCTGTTTTCTCTAGTGTGGACAGAGTGAGATTATCATATGAAAACATCCAGCACTTTAAAAAAAAATGTAAAGATGGTACTTTAATGTAAGCTCTTGGAAGTTATGCCAAGGAAACTGTGCAGAATTTTCCTATTTAACTCGTTCCTTTGGAGTGCAGCATCCTAGCCTTCATAACAGTCCTTTATTCTCTAACATCTTGGATGAATTCATTTTTATCACTCAGTGAAGCTTAAGGCCACCAGCAACCCACAATTTTTCACATGTAAAGGAAATGCAGGATGTGCCAAACAGAAGATCTTTACATAACAAAGAAGCTTAAAAGAGCACTGAAAGTTCAGGATATAAATTAACTCTAGCAGGTACGTTCTGTGTTAAGATTTAGCAGCAAAGAGTTATTTTTATTAAACCGGATGACAATTTGGTCTTTATTCTACAGACTAGACAGAGCCTGTTTCACTACCAAAACCAGAACTTCTCTAGAGAAAAAAAATCTTAATACACACTAGGATTATGACATAAGATTTCAGAGATATAAATTAAACTTTAGTAGCAAGGTGTAGCAACCAAGTGTGGTGTAGTGGTTAGTGTTTCAGACTAGGATCTGGGAGACCCAGGTTCAAATCCCGACTCTGTCGGGGAAGCTCACTGGGTGACCTTGGGCCAATCACATACTCTCAGCCTACCTCATGGAGTTGTTGTGAGGATAAATGGAGGAAATGAAAATTATGTACACTGATTTTGGTCTCCACTGGGAAGAAAAGTGGGTATAAATGATTAATTAGTGTATAATTAATGTAAATACTTAAATAAGCACATGGCTGTGGCTCAATGAATGTTGTTTGCTGGCCTGAAACACGTGAAGCTGACTGCATCACTACTTTCCAGAGCAGATCAGTGAAAGAACAGCTTGCAGAACATGACAGCAAAGATAGGACTCAGAATCCGATGTGAACCTTCAAAGTTTTTTTTCCAGAAAAAGAAACCTTACAGTGAAGTGCTACAATACTACATTTGCTGTTAAAGTAGATTAATGTAAGGCTAGATTAGAACTAACAGTTCTATTGTGCTAGGCTCTACAAAAGCATTTCTTTTTGTCATGCGTCACCACTGAAATAAAGTGAATTACTATTAAAAGCCATATGATTTGAAATGGTCAAAAAGACAACAACTGTACATATGGTTTCAATGTTAAAAATCCCTAATTAAGTCAAGATAAGGCACTTTTCAGCTCCCAAGCTTTCAGTGGGATAGCTAAGCATTCACTGAATTTCTTTTTCTCATTAAAATCATGAAACTTAAAAGTGTTTAACTTTGCCTGGATCAAGGCAAATGCAAGTTTTTCTCTTTGGTTATTAGGCTTGCCGGGTCCCCACTGGCCACCCGAGAGGGATGGGGGGGGGCAGGGTGCCAGATCCAGGCTGGGAAACTCCTGGAGATTTGGGGGTGGAGCCTGGGGAGGACAGGGACCTCAGTGGGGTACAGTGCCACAAAGTCCACCTTCCCAAGCCTCTATTTTCTCCAAGGGAACTGATCTCTGTAGTCTGGAGAGGAGCTGTAATTCTAGGGGATCCCCAGGTCCCATATGAATGCTGGCATCCCTATTTTATCTATAAATGCTATTTTATACATTTGGTTATATATTTATGTAGTACACAAGCCCCCACGAGATGCCATTATAGCCCTACAGTCATTCTAGACAGGAGCATCCATGCAGGGTCAAAACACACACAACCACTTCAATGCAGAGTCGTAATAAATTAAAGGCAACCTACCTTTACAGAACCATAACCTTGCAGCAGATGCAGAAGGGACACCATGAACACGTTCACAGTTGTCCACAGCTTGTACATCCTTGTTTTTGAAATCCACACTTTGCTACACAGTTGAGACCATACAGCTGGAGAAGAAATCCGTTTCGAAATGCATTTCTCTAAGAACTGTTTATGAAAAAAAACGCCAAGCACATGTCCAGAATTTTCCTCTGCTTTGCTGATAATATGGGACAGTAAACAATAACTACGGCACAGGGATGTTCTAAAAGTAGGATTTACTGAAATGATGGAGTTTTATTTTTCGTTGATACTTTTAAGATAAAAAAATTAGTTTAAAAACAAACAAACAAAAAAATCTGTATTCCCAGAAGCAGGAAAATAAAAGTTCCAGATCATAAACTCAATCCATCTCCCACCTGGGCACAACAGAAACGCAGTATTTATTTGTGGTTCCGGAAACGTTCAAATCTGCTGGGGTTTTGGTGCTCCATGTTACAGCTGCCTTTTCAGATGGCAGTATCACAGCCAATGTTTTGAGCTAGAGAGAGCTGTAATCCAACTCTGTAGTGAAACTTTTTTTCACAGCCTTCATGGAAGCCTGCAGAAGCATGCGGCTTAAATCAGATACAGACACTGGCAGAAATTAGACACAGTCACATTTTGGCTGTTATCCCGTTTCACCCCTACCAATGGTGCAGCATTTACTAACTAACTGATGCAACGTAGGCAGCCATCATTTTAAGGACAATTACCTGAATGAAACATGAAACTCCAGCACAGAACCTTGTATAGCAAATATGTTAGGAGTGCCCTGCCAACACCACTCATCTGGCCGGTCTCTCTCTCTCTCTCTCTCTCTCTCTCTCTCTCTCTCTCTCACACACACACACACACACACACACACACCAACTTCTATATTTTCTCCATTGAAAAACACTTTTGACCATTTTTCAGAGTGCTATTGTTTTTATTGCATAAATGTGTGTACGTGTGCTTAAGAGCTGTTTATTTATTAAAAGCTTTAAATATATATATATATTTATATTCCAGATATATATATATGGAAATGTAAAATGAGCATGCAGAGAAATATTGCAGAGAAAGGAGAAATAATTTTTTCATGTTACAAGGAAAGTCACATATATGTCTGTTGCTGGCAGTCATAACAATTAACTTTGGTTCTATACAGACTGTTGATTTACACTTCTGGCCCGACCCAGCAAACCCTTATGATTAGCTCCAGTAAAGCCCATGGGGCTGCTCCATAAGCCAAGGAAAGAGGACTCAAGATATACAGCTGCAAATATGAAACTGGCCCATCTCATTTCTTCCGCAGCCATTCATTTGTTCCCAATCTTTGATTTCCAAGTGGTTGCCCTCTCAAATCCATTTCTAGCATTCCTGAAGTCATCGATGGCTTGCAGAATTTCTTCCTGTGTGTTCATCACAAATGGACCTAGGACAGGGAGGGGGGGGGGGGGACTCCATTCTTCAGTTTAAAATAGTTATATAGCTTCAGTCTTCAGGCTACAGTATTCAAGCCAGATCTGGTAATCATCTTCTCTCCCCTGTCTCCTTTTGACCTCCAACTCCATTTACAAAGCTCAGCTACACAAAGTAGTGACATCAAGATCACCTTCACATGGGAGAACAGAATTATCAGACACATTCTTCCATTCACGCATCCTACAGGGTGGAGGACAACTTGAAGGGTTTCATACACATACAAGAGAGTAGTTGGAGAAGGGGGATTTTCCACATCGCACATAAAAAGAGTAAGGAACTCCAACTGTCTACAGAGGGGGTGGGATCAAAGGTGGCGAGACACTTTTCATCCCCCTCTTTGTCTTTGGCCTTCTATGTAATCGTCAGCTATTCTGCGGCACCTGCATCCCTGGACTGACCAGCAAAGATCTGCAAGGTAGGTAAGTTCACATCAAGCAGAAATTCTCATACAGGTATGCATTCACATCCTTTCACAGACTCACACACCTACACATTGTCTGAGGGTATGTTCTAAAGGCACACGATTCAGCAACCTTCCCACAAAGACTCTACCAGACATATTGGGAGCTCCATGCTTGGAATTTAATTTCCAGGTGTATACAGGACCAATTCAGATCAGGACTGCAGCATACGGATAAAGAGAGCTTAAGCTTCGCCCTCAGTGTTTTCCAGAAATGGCTCCAGGGAGATGCTCTGAAGAAACTCATGTGTAGCCCATTGGTACATGTGTAGCTAGGTGGAGTAGGATTCTCTCTCCATGCACTGCATTCCCAATCTGAACTAGGAAGCACAGAAACTCTCAGTGGAACATGTCTGATCTCTCACATGAATGGGTCTTAAGTGAGAGAATATCAATTATTCTCCCTCTCCCCATTTTGTTGCATCAAATCCAGTGCTATCCAGCAGCTTCTTGAAACGATATTGGGACATTCCTAACAACAATGGCTGCTGCCATAATGGCAGTACCAACCCACACTTATGCCCCCTGTATGATGGTACCACAGCACTCCAGACTGTAATGATGTGCTGTTGCAGCAGTCAACTGTGCACCACCCTTGGTTCAAAGGACTAAGGTATTAGAACCTTAATATGTGGTAGATGTTTTTAAAATAAGGCATTTATTGGACAAGACTGTGACACATTTGTTTTAACTTGCCTCTTTGGCATTCTGCTTGCTTGCAACACTATAAACTCCTTTGAACACTAACATATCTGAATGAAAGCTGGTGTACATGTTCTACTTTCAAATGTGAAAACCCATCTCAGCTTCCATGGTCCTGGAAAACCCACTACAATACAGTACTATTAGAATTAATGAAATTCATCACATTACAAACTGGAATGAAAATCAAAATGCAGATTTATGCTGTCATTCTATGTTTCAATATCAAATTCATATGTCTGAACCCATTTTCTAGGGGGAAGGGAATATGCATCATGCACAACAATGCCACGCCTGACTTGATAATCGTATCGTCACAAGAGATAAAATAAAATTTAGTTGCTTGGTTTAGCATTACACAAAACCATGGTTTATTTTTTTAACTATGGTCAGTTTTCAATTCACAGACAGTCATTCAATAAATACTGGTTTCATGTCCTTCTTTCTGTAAGTTGTGAGGGCACTGCAAGAGAATAAGGCATGGAGAGCCAGTTTGGTGTAGTGGTTAAGTGTGTGGACTCTAATCTGGGGGAAACGGGTTTGATTCCCCACTTCTCCACTTGCACCTGCTGATGTGACCTTGGGTCAGTCTCAAGCTCTGGCACAGCTGTCCTTGAAAAAGAGCAGTTTGTGTCAGAGTTCTCTTAGCCCCACCTCCCTCACAGGGTGTATGTTGTGGGGAGGGGAAGGGAAAGGAGTTTGTAAGCCACTCTGAGACTCTGAGTGAAGGGCGGGGTATAATTCCAATCTCTTCTTCTTCTTCTTCTATGGTGTTTGTATCCAGACAATAAGCCAGTTTCAAAACTTAGTTAGAGACAGTCAAGACAGTCACACTAACCATAGTTAGCTTAACTGAACCATGATTTCATGCAATGTCTTAACTGAACCAGTATGTACATTTAAGATACAACTTCTCTAGCTTTACCACCCATACCTGTGTTACAGGGAAGGGCAAAAGAAGAGATGCAAAACACACTGAAATGTATGTTAATGTGAAATTTCTCTAACACTTGAATTTGCCTTTTAAGTTTTTTATGTGACTATTGTTTTTGTAATGGAGAAGACTACAAGCTGAAGACATGCATGATGGTGATGGCTGCACTGAGTGGTAGGACACGTCCTTTGTATGCTCAAGGTTCCGGTGCATTCCTTATTTGGGTGTGGCTAGGAAATACCTCAGATCCTCCAGAGCTATTGCTAGTCAAAGTAGACAACGAAACAATGGTCTGATTCGGTTACAATGAAGTTTCATGTGTTGAGATGGTTAAGAAAAGTGAACCTTTCAGCTTAACTTATTTGATTTTCCTTTTGTGAGTGTTTGTACACCATGACCACTCTCTTGAACACTGAGGTATTAGAATGAAACCTGACAATACCTTCAACATCACATTTCAGATCTGAATATCAACTTTACTTCCCCACACATTTTCAATGTGGGAGGGATGTATGCAAAATGTACTGTAATGAGGTATAAAAATGAATATTGGTACGTTCAAGACACATATTATACATTTCATCTTGAGCCTGAACACTCCTTCAGAGAATCAAGGAAAGTTGTCTATAATACGATATCTCTCAAGGCCATGGAGTCACCAGAATGACAGCCGTATATATGTTCATGACATAATTATCTGTGGAAGTTCAAATACATCCCTCAAACCTTGCACAGAAGCAAAACTTGTAAAGCAAAATTGAATGCAATGTGAAATCTGAACATCTGTCTATTACATCATGCTTCATTAATTGTATGTATCTCATATAAAAATTTGTAGAACACCATAAAAGCTACTGACATTCAACAATGGATTTGGCAATGAAGAACAAAGGGACTCCAAGATAACTGTAATTGAAAGAGCACACACACACAGCCTGATGAAAAAGAAAGTGGTTTAAGTAATAAAAGCTTACCATGTTGTACTACAGCTTCCTTAATCGGCTCACCAGCAATTAAGACAAAATGGCTTATTGTGGAATCCTAAAACAATTAATGGTACATGTCAATCAACTGCATATATTTACACATTATTTTTTACATAAAATTTTGTACACAGATTTTTAAATACTTCAGTAACAAAACTGATTAAGAGATTTTTAAATACTTCAGTAACAAAACTGATTAAGATACTCTTGACTGAGGGAATAATATGGGGGGAAATTTTGAGGCAGGGAAAAGATTAAGCACTCCTTTTCAGCTGCCAGTTCTCCTTTGTAAATGTGTGCTTCTGCCTCTGTTAGCATGAAAAAGCAAACACAAAGATGGACATCTCCATATTTTCCTCATAACATTTAGTTCCACCTTCAGCTGCTACTGTAACCAGAAACAGCACTTTGGTGAATCTATGCCTGAGATGGGATCCAGATGTAAATATAATATTATGGACCATACAAAAATTTGTCAAATATACAACTGTACATTAAAAGATACAGATCAGAGGGGGAAATTGTGTGTGTTTTGCTACCCAATAACTAGTGACAAAAAAGGAACAGATAATGCAATTTGGTTGTATTTTCTACTTGCTTTTTGTAGAACCATTGAATTGGTTCACACATTCACCAAAATCATCACCTTCTACACACGAGGGGTCATCATACACACATGAATCTTCAACCAAAATATACAATGTACATTGGGATACTAGGAATACTTGGATAAATGGGAATACAAGTATGCCCAATTCACATGAGCTTTAACTCTCAAACAATCAAAAGTGTTTGGAGGAGGGAGGAACTGAATGAAGAAACATAGCATCAATCAGGCAAATGTACAAATGAATCCATACATTATCCTCATTACATAATGTGTGCTTACTGCCCCACAACGTGTACAAAATCACCACTTGGGTGAATGTATAAACCAGTCCTCAGAGTTGAGGAGGGTCAAAAAAATCATGTACAGCAATGATACTCACTCAGTAGCTCAGGAACCACATGTGGTTCTCTGGCATTTCCCTTGCAGCTCTTCTGAACACTGTTGCCTAATGTTGCACCCGGTCCATGTTCCAGTAAAGTGAACAAAGCCATTGCATGGTAGGGTGTGTGGCTCTCAGGTGGCTTCCACCTTAAAACAGCTACCGACAGAAAAAGGGTAAGCTGAGAGCATCCCCAAGGTGCAGACCTCATGCCACGGATGGAAGCAAATGTGGCTCTTTGTGAGCTGCAGAGCAGGTACCACTGATATAAAGGCTCCAGAGATCAGTAGTTGCAATTCAAACTACTGCAAGCTACAAGCACAGAACTAACTACACTGCAGAAAAGAGCTCCCTGGGCAAAGAGCTGAAGATGACCAAATGACCCAGATGAGATGCCAGACAAGGGAAAAGTCACTAGTGTTACGAATTATTGGTCCCTATTACATGGGGCTCACAGTGAAAACTCCCTGGAGGCTTTCTACTATTCTCCTAAGGATGCAAAAGGCCTCTTAAGAGCCACAGAGATATCGCGTTCAGGATGTGCAGCATGGGCTTGCAAGGCACAACAAAGTGGTGTTGCTTCATCAAAAAAGGCTCACCACCACAAGTTCTGGTTGTGCTAAAGAAGCATAGCTTGATATTTAACACTGAGAGAATTGCAACAGAACAATCTACTGTTCTTTTAGGAACAGACATTGCTTAGTATTGCAAAACTGTCTTGGGACACAAGGGTGTAGCCCATACCAAAAATAAACAAAACTTTTGGATCATATCAGACACATTTTTTTACAGACATTATAACACATTTTTTTTAAAAAAACCTTCACACATATGTCAATATTATTTCCTTCTTCCATACTAAAATAATCTTTCCCATTACCTAGAACATATACTATTTTAGCTAACAAATTTCTAGCATGAAAAAGATAAAACTGATTCAACAGGAATAGAGAAGCAGCCAATTTTTTAGATTCAATGGATCATACAATGTAGCAAACAGAGAAAGAGTAATAACAATTTGGGAGGATTGGAGGCATATTACAACTGACAGTAAAAGAGGATGCCATAGGCTTATGTTTCAAACATTTGCGCATTGAAAAGTCGCTGTTCTAGTTTTCATGTTCTTTGCAGATTACTACATTAGCTGAGCCAGAACATGAAAAGATGGCAGTAGAATCCTATGAAGAGTTACTCCAGCCTAAGCACGTTGCTTTCAATTAATTTAGACTGAAGTAATTCTGCATAGGATTGCCATGTAATATCTCATCTTGTTCTATTCTCCTGTGCAGCTGTACTGAATATGTGAAATGAAAAGGAAAAGGTAGTTGTTAGGTTGAGCACAGTGACATGACTGACATGTTTGTCTGTCCAAGACACAACTATTCAGTTTTTGTCCACTCTGGAAAAGGACATTGCCTCAATTCCACTAGGAGATCCCCTGAAAAACATACAACCCCCTCACTATTTTTGAATCACTATGAAAACATGAAATTAGTACTAATAAATTAGCACTAACGCTATAGTTCAATGGAAGTGAAGAGCTTTCAAGAAAAACAGCCAAGCTGGTTAATAACACAGCCTAGAAGAATTTAGATAGAAGAAAACAAATTCAGCTGCAGTTCTTCTTAATGTTTTTTCCCCCTGCCATGGTTGTTTGTATTTGGATGCTTTTCTGCCTATGAATTTGTGTCAAACTCTACTGAACACATGGATCATTTGCAAATACCTTGTTTTCCACTTGCACACAGTCACCATCATCCAACACAGCGGTGTGGTGGGCTTCTACTTTTTGTTGATCATTACTTGGACCTTTGAAAAGAACGTATTTTAAAAGTGCTAATATTCTCAGATAGTTAATGGATTATTCTAAGATGTTCCCTTAACATATATCATAACTTACACTTGGTATCCAGTCAGTAAATTTGTCACACAAATCTTTCACATGCATCACAAAGCAAAATGTTAAATGTCTAAAGCATATTTTATGAAGTCACTATGCCTATTTAGTAGAAGCAGAGTGAAATAAAGGATATTTCTTTAAAATAGGGACATCTGGCATTGGTTTGGGCCTGATGATTTTATGCATAGTTGCTGTTATTTTAAGTCACTTCTCAGCTTGTACCTCTGGAAACAAATGTCTTTGCCCTGGTGCCACAATGCCATGAAGACACTCAGTAGGATTTCATCTGTAACTCTTTATACACTGGAGGACATATATCTGGTGCGAAAGTCCCTCAGGTATGCTGGGCTCAGACAATACAGGATGACAATATATCATCAGAAATCAATACTACTTGTTCATAAATAATGATCATTTTATACAGAAAACAAATGTTATTTAAAGACATTGCTCATTACATGTTAAAAACAACCTGAATTCTATTTTTATAAAAACAAATGGAAAAATGTATACCTGGTTTAAATCTCTAAACTACTGAGAGGATTCAACAAGAAACTTACCAATGTACACATTACCAGAGATGGTGTAGATAAAGGCTGTCCAGCCTAAATGACAAAATATATAGGATCTGGTTTACAACATTCAGTATTTGACTAGATCCAACTACACATATAATATAATTCCATCAATATTTGAAATCAATCACATAGTACTTTGTGACCCACAAATATTATTTAATACTGGTGGAATTAAAATTATCTTTAACATAACAAGCTATTTTCCCACAGAAGCCTATTTTAACAGGGCAGGGCAGTCCAAGACTGCATCCAGCCCACTAAAAGCTTTCTCAGCAGTTCAGCCTTGCAATAGTTTTACAGATTTGACAATCATCAAAATCACTCACAACTTAGATACTATATCTCACTAGCATTTCCATTTGCAAGCCAAAGTGGGTGCATTCCATGTTATATATTTATGGCTGATGAAATCGTCTACTCTGATCATAAACATGGTTACTTAGAAGTTACTCTAAGTTTAAATGTGATTTGCCAATAAGTTTAGGGCTGCAGCCTCCAAAATGAAGGCCATATAGATTATGCTTTGCCATACAGCACAACCAGCTTCGTGTTTTGATAAATCTTAGAGGGGTACCCATGTTAGTGCAGCCAAAACAACAAGAAGTCTTAGGGCACCTTAAAGACAAATTAGTTTGTCAGCCTTCAGGGCGCCACAATACTCTTAAATTGTTTGGGCTAGATATTTTGATATCCATGGATGAAAAATTCTACATGCAAACCAAGTAACACTCTGTAGTACTCATCTGTTTGTTAAAGCATCATTGTTGACACTACAACAGTCAGAAAAATATAATCTTCTTTAAAAAGTCTACCTCTAAAATAACCTCAAGGGTTTTAGCAACAATAATTTTCCTTTCAAGGCTACAGCCTCCTCATTCCTTGGGCAGAAATCCCAGAATAAGCAGATACCCTTGTCACTTTGACAAGAAAATCCTGATCCATAAAAGCTCCTGAAGACCACCATCGTTTCCCATAAATAGGCACACATACTACAGAAAGACATCCCAAAACAAACCAGCTGCAAAATAGCAGAGTCATAAAAAGGGCCAGAGCTGATTCTGTGACGTACAAATAGATTATGTATGCACTGTAGCCTTTATGTCCATTGAGGGTTCATGAAACTGTACCGCATTGTCAAGTTAAATCATGAATCTCAGTAATCTCACAGGACCCAACAAGAAGATAGTCTTGTGATTCTGACAAGAAATTTCTTATGCATAAACTATGTGATATAATATCTCTTTCTTTCTTTCTTTCTTTCTTTTTCTTTCTTTCTTTCTCTCTCTCTTTCTCTCTCCCTCCCTCCCTCCCTCCCTCTCCCTCCCCCCCCCCTCTAGATAGCTAGTGTGGTATAATGGATAGAGTGTCAGACAGGGAACCAGGAGACCTCGGTTCAAATATCCATTTTGCCATGAAACTCACTGAGGTAACTTTGGCCAGTCACTCTCTCTCAGTCTGGCATACCATTCTGGGCTTTAATCTTTAATGAGGGTAAATATGGGAAAGTGGAAGGATCTGAGCTCCTTGGAGAAAGGGTGGGGTTAAACTCTAATAGGTGAGCAGGCAGATTAGAGATGACATATGACTTTTAAAACCACTGCCTAGAATCCTTCACAGAATCGGGTCTCAAACTGTGGTATAAATTTCCTTTCCAGCAACGTTCCTCACCAAACCACTTCTAAAATCTGCCCAATGACAAGTGCAAGTCCAACATCAACTACTGAACCACACTTTCTCTTTGCATTGATACACATGCTTACAAGACAGAACAAAAAATTAAGTCCACGCAAGGAATTCAGAATTTAATTTTGTTGCCATTTTGGAAGTTTTCCAGTCAATTGAGATATGACAATTTCTCCCATGTGACAGAAATCCTATTTTCCTAGTCAATTTAAAGTACACCATTTGCTTTTATATTCATGTGAGAAAATCACTGGGGCATGAACAATTTTTTCCAACGGCAATATTCCATCAGTGAGATTCAGATGTTATAATTTGAGCCACATTAAATTTCTTATTGACTAGATGAAGAAGCTTCCTACCTTTAGGAACTGCCTGTGTGTGTTTCACTCCTTTGTCTAACTTGAAATCCAGGTATAGCGTTGGTGTACGAGTATACACCTTAGACTGAAGAGATAACAGTAAGAAAAGCACAATTAGATTTCCACAGAAGGAATACTCTCTGGCACCAAAGACCCCACCAAGGCAAACAAGGATTTCACCTATAGTTCATTTTGATGATACATCACATTTTTAAGAAGCAGTAATGCTACCAAGCTGCTTGCAGAGATATTTATTGACGATCAAAATTAATATACTGAACCCTTATGATCCATTTCGGTATAACAGTCAAATTCAAATATTTTGAAAGTTCTTTTCATCTAAACCAGAGTTACAAATGCTCTAAAAAGTTTCACAGAGTCAAAACAATAAACGAATGGCAAAGAAATACAAGCAAGGAACTGGAGAATAATGATATTCAATATATGGTAGTAAGCTTTTTTTGTGATAAAGGCTAATTTAGCTTTGAAAGGTCCTTCAGCTGACCAAAACTGTTTCAATTCTTAAATTCCCTCATGTGGAGGAGATCCATTATGACACACAGAGAGCTGAGTACTCCATACCAATACCCTGCCACATGGAGGGCCTCACTCCTAAGAGTTCTCTCCTTCAGTGATGACAGGAGAAGGCGGGAAGAGGAAAATGGCACGAAGTGAGTCTCTGAGGAATCAAAAGTCTATATGTATCTGTCACTGTTACTTCTGTCACATGGCTATATATTTTTATTTATTTGATTTATATACTGCCCTCCTCATGGGTGGGCTCAGGGCGGTTTACATCAATCTTAATGTAATACCATCAAAACAACCATTAAAATAACAATTTAAAACAATATATTGATAGAAAAATTTTGAATGTACAAGCAGGACATCTTTTGAACCTAAAAAGTTTTGTCCAATGACTAACTCAAAAGTTAAATAACCGAGTATTATGAAAAAAAATGCTAATGCTAATAAATCTAGAGGGGAACCATGTTGTATACAGATAAAACGTATGTCCAAAAGCACCTTAAGCACCAACAAAATGTTCCACGGTATAAAGTTTTGTAAGGCAAAGCTCATTTCCCCAGATATAAATAGAATGACAATCTGTTAGCCTTTATATCCAAACCAGAAGGTGGGAAGAGTATTACAAAGAAAGGCCAGTAAGAGTAAGGATGGAGAAGTGCAATGCAAAATGTAATCAGCTTGGTCAGAGCTAGGAGATACGTACAGAGAAGGAAATGCAGAAAATTAGCATCTCTAATGAGATAAGAATCTTACATCCTTATTCAGTGACAGGGTTCCATTGTCCAGAACATGTTAATGGACCTCACATTGTTCATTAATTTCCCATTATAATCTTCTTTTGAAGATTCTCTGAAGAACTGTCACTCTTGGATCAGCAACAGAACATCCTGGAAGATTAAAATGTTCTCCCACTGGTTTCTGAATATGGTGATTTTTAATGTCAGACCTCTGTCCTTTTATTCTTTTGCATAAAGCCATCTATTGTTTTGCATAGAGCCATCTATTCTTTTGCATAGAGCCATTTATTCTTTTGCATAGAGCATAGATGCAACGAAGATGAAGTTGAGCAAACTTCAGAGGACGGCGGAAGACTGGAAGGCTTGGCGTGATCTGGTCCATGGGGTTGCGAAAAGTTGGACTCGACTGTGCGACTGAACAACAACAAATAGAGATGTAGAACTGGAAGGGCACTGCTGACGCTTGATGTGAGCCAGTTTGGTGTAGTGGTTAGGAATGTGGACTCTAATCTGGGAGAACTGGGTTTGATTCCCCACTCCTTCACATGCAGCTGCTGCTGTGACCTTGGGTCAGTCATAAGTTCTTTCAGAGCTGTTCTCTCAAGGACAGCTCTCAAAAGAGAGCTCTTTCAGCCCCACCTACCTCACAGCCAATGCACCCTCTAAGCTGTGGAGTCTTGTGAGCAAAAAATTATACTTTGTGATCTAATGACATTACACTTGTGAGCAAGTGATTTGGCAAATGCATTGTTTGCCCTGGAGCCATCCTTCCTGATCTAAAACAAAAATGTGTGAGTTGGAGGCTAAAGAACTGTGAGCTTGCTCACGCTAACTCAGCTTAGAGGAAACACTGCTCACAGGGTTTCTGTTGTGGGGAGGGGAAAGGGATTGTAAGCCGCTCTAAAACTTAATCTAAGGCTTAATCTTGTAAGCCGCCCCGAGCTGAATATTGGATGGGGCAGGATATAAATCTCAATAATAAATAAATAATAAATAAATAAAACTCCTTCGGGTAGTGAAGGGTGAGGTATAAATCCAATCTCTTCCTTTTCTTCTTCTATATAACATAGGAACATGAGCAAGTGAATAAAACAAACTGTCTTGAGTGTGGAAATCTATCTGGACCAGTAAGGCACTTTCTCCTGAACTCTTGGATTAAGGATCTGCATGATTTGACCATGCCCTATCTAGTTCTCCTAAGAACAATTATGAAGAGTAGTCTTAGATCAAATTATGGCCCTATGGAAGCAATCTCTTCAAATTTAACAGAAGATGCACATACAGGGTACAGGAGATTTAGGCATTTAGTAGTAGGGATGGCACGGACTGGCTCATGAACTAAAGTTTGTGATGAATTTTGGTCTGTTCATGCTTCACGAAATGAAGTTTGTGGCAGGTCAACTAGCATGAACTTTCAAGCTGTTTGTTGAGGTTCATGCCAGTTCATGAATGGATATGTTTCCAGACTGGCTCTGCTCAATCTAAATGTTTACTGAACTTCAAAGTAAAGGCGCAGGTTCAGGAGTGCATACAATGGATCCTGTGCAAGTTAGAGACAGCAAACTCACAGGGGATCTCTGGCTGACTCTTCTCTACCTGCCCTCCAAGTCTGGTGAGGACTGGATTTATAGGGTCCAATTTACTGCCCCCCCCCTCCAAGAAGGTGCCCCCAGGAAAGTGCTTTCTGGGGAATTGACAGATTAGAAGCTATACTGATGACTAAATTAGGTGAGTTTTATTGTATAAAATTGCCCAAATCAGTTTTGGTGTTGAATTTATTGATTTTAATTGTTTTGTATTCTGAATATATATATTAATTGGCATAACTCTCTTGGCATCCATTGAACAGAAAGGCAGGTCAAAAATGCCTTAAATAAATTCAACGACACACAAGTCTGCACACCAGCTTTCTTTCTATGTACATACAAATACACACACATTTTTGATTGAAGAACAATATACTAAGCACATTTTAATATCTGTTGTGGAAATGCCACCAAAATACCACTGTATGCACTTCAGTCAGGAATGGCTGGTAAAAACAAACTACCTCTAAACTAGATTTATTGGCAAAATGAGTATAGCAACAGAAAGTTAATTAAAAAGGACATTTCTGTTCTGCTTTCTGTCACTGGCAGTGCTTAGGTAACCTAATCCCTAAATACTGCACAGATTTCATTAGCCTCAGCAGGGAAGCCAGGGATTAATATACCCAAGAATAACCTCTCACCCCTAGAGGTGGTCTCTTCAGGAGAGAGAACTAGAGTTCATTCACCAACAAAGTGCCCTGTGAGCAATCTTGGCAGAATAACTGAACACAACATCAAACTCTAGATGCATACACATAACCTTCTTTACTCTTCAGTTATCTTTTCAGCATTTGTTTCCATTCAATTCATACTAATATGCTGGTCCTCTGATAAACAGCTCCCTTCTTTCTTGCATGACAACTCTTCCAACAGAATTACCACTTCCACACAGGAAGTTGTGGACTAGCATCAAACAGTTTATGAGTGCTGGTGAAATCCATATTACCCTCTGTACAGATATGACTCAACACATTAGATTACACTGATGAAACTAATTACTGCTTCAGTGATTACTTGTTCCCAGTTATCTACAATGTTCCCTAAAAGCACACCATCTACCTACACCAAATCATAAATCATACAATCCAAATCCATTTTTTCATATTACAAAGAGCATTCCAATTTCTATAGGAACAAAACACTGAAATGACAGCTCCTTCTATGAAATATCAAGTTGTGTTTCAATCAATGTACAAGTGATAATCCTTTTCAGGAATGAATCACAAGTGAAAAACCATTACATTGAATGAAAAGTGTGCTTTCTGGGGGAAAAAAATTAAACCAGAAATGCATTTAAAATAACACTGCAAAGTACTTATGGAAGTATCTGAAGCCACATGTTGAAAACATTTACGACTCCTATGGTATGCATGCCCCACATTGTCTCATCTTACCTGTGTTATTTTTTCAATTATAAATGGCAATAAAACCCTAGCATTAAAATGGTTCAAGAAGGCACCTTTGAGATTCAGAAAAAGAATTTATGCTGGCCACACTTGTACCAGAAAGAGTAGTAGCTTCTCTATAGTATGAACACAATTTCATTAGGCCATGCAGTTTACATGTGGCATTGATTTTTCTTCCTAATGGATACCACGTTTGCCAATAAATTTCAGAAGAGGAATGTAAGATGGTGATAAAATTAAAGACCTGCAAAGTTTCTGAAAAGTATGCAATATTAAGTCATCCTCCGAATACATGAAACACTTTTACAACTGCAGACACAGCCTTATTTTTAAATGCTGAGTATCTGCATATGGTTAGACCCACTTGTTGCTTACTAAAGGCTGGGCAGCATTAAAAGCTATGCTACTATTTCCCAGTCTGCATTCCGCACACAAGTGATATTTGAGTAGGTATTGTAATAAAAATGAGTAACTGTCTCAGAATGTGACCCTGTGATTCTACCTCATACCCCAGTCATGAACATATTTGCTGACGTATCTGTATTGTAGCATGTGTTAAGCAACTCTGGGCAGTAGCAACATGAATGAAGGAGCCTTTCCCATTCATTGACCATGATGATGCAACACTATGAAATTTTCCTACCACTGAGGTATGAAAACGTGCAATAGTGGGCAGTAGTAGTCTTCCTCCAGCTTTAGGAGTGGCAGCTTTGGAGAGGTGCAGATGTTACCACAGCAGAGAAGAACAGCCCAGGTCTGGCAGAGGTCTTTCCTCAGTCTTTCAGCACTACAGCACATCGACGGGCCATAATGCAGTAGACAACT